CGGATGCTCATGTCGTCATTAAAAAATTGTTCAATGTGTGAATTATTTAATTGCACTCAATCTGTGGATATCCGGATCGATCATGGACAGAACTAGACTCACAGTTTGTCATTTCAATTTGTGTGTAAATAAATTCATATTTTATTGTTGACGATGAAGACGCTCGGACGTTGGTAGCATGAACTGAATGATTGGAACTGCAGTACGATAGCTGCTACATTTATGTGCGAACTGCTGGTTGCTCTGCGCGGCGTACTGATGGGTTACGCGAGTGCCACGCTAATCATTATTCACTGATGCTGGCGTATCATACAATGGAGTTGGGAGATGTGCGTAGCAGATCATCGGATAGCGTTTATAAGGCGAGTTAATTGCTCGAATTGTTTAATGGCTGGAATTGAATGAGATTAGTTTTACGTTGGGGATGATTTTGTCTCCTATTCTAAGCGTATCCATTTTATGAATCCAATATTCCATTGGAATTCTGAGTAAAGTGCAGAAAGCAGTGGAATTTGAAGTGTGGCTCTTAGCCCACAACATTATTGGATAAGTAATAAAGCTGGAAGAAGCGTCCAAACTCATCATTTCTAAACTTGTTTGTCAATACTAAGTGACGTAATCTGTGTGCAGTGGCGTCGGAAAGCAATTTAGTGTGCCGGGTACGGTTAGCCGTCTGAAGTTCATTACACGCGTCAGGGAGGGGTGCCTGACTTGAACATTTTTGAAATTCAGAGCCCAGTGAAGTGCATGTTATTGATTCACGGGATACTCAGTGCAAAGAGTGGTACGGTCATTACCATAGTGACCGTAATGTGTCCGATACCCCTGACCTGCCATAGCAGGGGTCAACCACTCTTGAATAAGCGTGACTGTGTGCGTTCGTGTGTGTGTTTGTGTGTATGTGTGTATGTGCATGTTCGTGTGCGCGCCTACTTTCGCGATTTGATGTAATAATAATAATATTCGCGGGATCCGCGTCGGCATCGCTTGAATGTTCAGAAACACACAAACTAGCCTTCGCATCCGCAGGCCACCACTATGCCTGTTAAAGGGGCACTCCGGCTTCATTTTCGACGCCGAGTTTTCGATGCCAAGACGAAGGTAGGTGAAAGAGAAGACCCCTCGAACAAGAACGAGTCTTCAGAAGCGATCGAGTCGAGCAGGAAGACGACTTTTGAATTTCGCCGAGCGAGCGCTGATGACGTAATGAGGGATTAGCTTGCCAGTGGAAATGCATCTGCGCACATACATTTCACATACTTTTTGGCCAATTTTCAATCGAAGAGGAGGTTGTTTTCTATGTTCTCTCAACGTCGTGAGCGATCCCGTCTTCTATACCCTTCCAGGTACCCTCAAGTTCCTCCAGAGGAGAATTTATCTCCAGCGAAGCGTTGTTGATCCGCTAAATTCGTCTCGAGACATATTCACCCAGTGCAGTGCTGATAAATGTAGAATGTTGAATCTGTGATAATTGTCGACGATGGAGAGAGAGGTTGACAGCCGCTGTCGCAGGGAAAGTGAAGCTGCTGGAAGTAACAACGGGGAGCTTGTTACCATCACAAGTGCATCCAGACTTCAAAGCAGTTTGACGGAATCGGGGAGTACTGACTATTTGTCTCGCCCTCAGTTTAGTGAATTTTATGACCAGAAATTTATTCGATCAGGATCCCTTCTACAAGATGTGTAGTACAGGTGATTTCTGAACTTGACGATATGGAGACCGACCAGTAGACGTACCAATAACGTGTACCTGCAGGAAATTCACCCAAGGCTATTGCTATCCTCTTCAGTGGCTGTTGTTTTTTAGTAAAAATATGTTCACTTCTCTCAACATACTCCTGCATGGCAGCAAGAAGGTGCGCTATGGAATTCAGCGGCACAATCTTCGCCCACCTGTGGATGAAACATGGTCAAGTCATGGCAGTACATATACTTGAAACAGATGAGAAATTGAAGTTCATTTGTGATGGGAAGTTTGACAGCCCCAGTGACCGAGTCAAGCATTGTCTTTTGCCGTGGCACAAATTGCTGAAGAATCCGAGATGGTCTTGGAACTATGCACATGGATACTACCAGAAATAATGGTGGCATGAAACATGGTGGAATGGGACAGCTCACGGAGAATACTGGAATAGCTCAAGCATCTCTAAGTGATTGTAAATCCTGTTCTGGCTGATAGCTTCAGCCTGCTGCGCCCGTCCATGTACAATGATGGGAGCATGCATTTCTGTTTTCTACATATTTGCCGGCTACTGTACTGTGGTATTACAGTTGCAGGTCCCTTATATAAAAAATATGTTCAATACCCTCCCACATACCCACATTATAATATGAACTAACAATTTCACTGTTCGACTCGCAGGCGGCTAGAGAGCAAAGGATTAATTTATAGCAAAGAAAAGGACCAGAGAACTACAAGTAAATTAGTTACGCTATAATGTCAATTTCACTGTATTTGAAATAATTTTGTTTGATACCCTGAGTACTCTGAAACTTTGGAGCACTGTGGATTATGTGGATACATTTATGGAAGGAAAAGTGGAATAATTTCTAACACATTGTTCAAATAATTATAGCACTGAATTGTTGAGATTGTGAGCACATTCCAATCAGCACTCTACATATTTATATAAGCGGTGGCAATCGTTAGGAATAGGTCGTGAGTTGTCAGAGTGCTCCAGTATATGAGAGAATGTTTTGTTCATCTAATCGTCGCCTCGTTTGAAGCCAGAGTTGTTTGAACTTGTTTCAGTCGACTTGATTCTAGATACTAGTAGTAGTCCAAGGAGTACTATGAAGTACACACCACACGTAGTCCGTAAGGTATCTCGTGAGAATTCTGTCGGTACACATCAGGTATCAGCTTGCAAAGATGGATCCTCTCTGTTTCTTGAAAGCCTGTATAGTTGGACTGTGGCTCCAGCGATTCCTTTCCCAGAGCAGATACCATCCCAATACGGCCAATGCATATTAGACAGACCTGTATGCACAACAGAAATAGTGGAGAGAAATCTCTCAGCTCATGAACACATCAGTGAAGTTTGAACTGCCGTTGTTTGTGGCCATCAGTATAAACCTATCGACTATAAGAATAATGTGCAAACAGACTTCTATAACCACAGCTGGGGCCATGGAATTATAAACTTAGGGAGCTGCCAATTCTGGTCTGAGTTGCGTTCGAGGCCTGCAATTCATGATGGCTATCGTATGTTGCATTGACCAGAGATCATATTATAAAACTTCCATGCCACATTGAAACACGCACCACTTTCGAGTACTTAGGTATCCCCACGAAATGGGCATTTGTTCTCGGGGTGGCAGGCGTCACTATTCGTTATGCCTGGATCAGATTTCATTGACCCTAACTGTCATGAAGAATCATTTTTACTTTGACTGGATTTCAGTACAAGTTGTAGAACTGCAGAATCAATTTCGTTGTATTTGGGCAACCATTTCACTACAAACGCTCTATTGGGAAAATAGAATTTTTTTATAAAATACATGTCCAAAGTCCACATTTACCCAAATCGGAATACTTGATCACGTATTCAGTACTACACGGAATGTTAAGAAAACGCCAGGGAATAGGAATTTGCTAACGAGAACTCCAGGTCAGGGTACTAGCATACGAACAAAACAAGATAAGAACTCACCAGTGTACTTGTAGTAATTCATGTCGGTGTAATATTCACGATAAGCAACGAGGCACCCTCCGATTTGGTCAAGCTGCTTTGAAGTCTGGTTGTTCAGATGATACAAACGGGCTCCCCGTTGTTACTTCCAGCAGCTTCACTCTCCCTGCGACAGCGGCTATCAGCCTCTCTCTCCATCGTCAACAATTATCACAGATTCAACATTCTACATTTATCAGCACTGCACTGGGTGAATATGTCTCGAGACGAATTTAGCGGATCAACAACGCTTCGCTGGAGATAAATTCTCCTCTGGAGGACCTTGAGGGTACCTGGAAGGGTATAGAAGACGGGATCGCTCACGACGTTGAGAGAACATAGAAAACAACCTCCTCTTCGATTGAAAATTGGCCAAAAAGTATGTGAAATGTATGTGCGCAGATGCATTTCCACTGGCAAGCTAATCCCTCATTACGTCATCAGCGCTCGCTCGGCGAAATTCAAAAGTCGTCTTCCTGCTCGACTCGATCGCTTCTGGAGACTCGTTCTTGTTCGAGGGGTCTTCTCTTTCACCTACCTTCGTCTTGGCATCGAAAACTCGACGTCGAAAATGAAGCCGGAGTGCCCCTTTAACCTTAGTGGCGAATGCAGACCTCACAAGTGATTCAGGGGAGAGGAGGTTAGTCTCTCAACCAATCGGGCGTGTAACGGCCCATAACCCTGTAAACTGCATCCTTGTTATTCTCACTCCGAGCTGTGAGTACCCAGTTGACCGTGGGTGTCGGCGCAGTTCAACACGCGTAAAATGTCTTTTTACACGCTTCCTGCTACCAGCGCGGGTCTTGAACTCGGGACCTCATGATTCGCAGGCAGGCCTGCAAACCAATCGGCCATATGCGTTGGTGCGATTTGATGTGGGATGCAAAATTGGGAAAAAAGAATCACTCGCAAAGATTTGATTTTTACGACTCAACTCGTATAGCCGTTGGATTTGTAGGCTTGCCTGTGAATCATGAAGTCCCCAATTCAAAACCTGTGCTGGAAGCAGGGGGGGGGGGGGGGGGGGGGTGTTTGGTGGTGAATCGTGGTGATGCGGGCAAGTACCACTTTACATGCAATGAACTGTGCTGACACCATACTGAGTTTGTGTTCCCCAACACGTCAGGGGATGCGGCCGCGAATCCGCCTAACTTTACCTATTCCAACTGTGTGTGTGTGTGTGTGTGTGTGTGTGTGTGTGTGTGTGTGTGTTGGAGGGTGGGGGGATTGAGTCAAAAAGACAGTAGTATCCTTTGCTTGTATGGAGATGAATATGGTTTCATTACAGTAACATGAACTTGTGTTACTGTTTCTGTATTGCTGTACAGAGGCAGCAGTGTACCTTGCCATGAACAACGCAGAATATACAAGTGCAGTTGAGGCTGATGCGCCAGAAGACAAGATTGCCGAGGCTAAGGATGACAGCAGCAGGTCTAATGCTGAATAGACTGCACATGTTGAAGAGGTTTGAGTAGATAGCATATGAACAGGCAAGATCGAGGAGCAAGTGATCACCAATACCTGGTGAGTGCATTGTTCCTTCTGCAAATTCAATGCCGCTGTGTGCGTTGTGTGTGTGTGTGTCTGTCTGTCTGTCTGTCTGTCTGTCTGTCTGTCTGTCTGTCTGTCTGTCTGTGTCTCTGTGTGTCTGTGTCTGTATGCTTGTACACATGCATGCATGTGTGTGTGTGTGTATGTGTGTTTGTGTAAAACTTCATGGTACCAGGGCTTCTAGTGTCTGCTTACGCAATGCAGCATGCTGACTACGCTGGTTACCCCAGGAAGTGTAGGGTGTGCATAGGTAACTGTCTTGGCCGTCCTATTCCGATGTGCTCAGTGTGGTGTACATCAGGAGTGTATTGTTGGTGGATTCGCATGGCTTTACCAGCTGAGTGGATTAGGCAGGTATCTGGCGCTAGTCCTGATGTGTTCCATTCTTGATTGCTATCGTTACTAAGATATAATCTGTGCGTGTACATCCAATGCATTTCAGATTGGCATGTTTCTCTTACGATGGCCATACATACCACATCACTACACGGTGTGTGTGTGTGTGTGTGTGTGTGTGTGTGTGTGTGTGTGTGTGTGTGTGTGTGTGTGTCGTGTGTACCGCGTGGGAGGCCGAAGCAGTCCCTCAAGAGTGGGTGTGTAGCAATCTGGTCCCCATCCCGAAGAAGGGCAACCTTGCCAAATGCGATAATTGGCGGGGCATTGCTTTGTTGGAGGTGGTTGGCAAGGTCGTTGCTGCCATGATTCAGCGCCGCTTGCAGTCATTGGCCGAGACCATCCTTCCCGACTCCCAATATGGTTTTAGGAAAGGTCGGTCATGCACGGATATGGTTTTCGCCGTTCAGCAGGTCGCAGAGAAGCTCTACGAACATCGGTGCAAGGGTTTTCTAGTCTTCGTAGACCTCCGTAAGGCGTATGACTCTGTCAGCCGCCAATGCCTATGGATTATCCTCAAGAAGGCAGGTGTTCCTGAGCGCCTCATCAATATCATACGCTCTTTCCACACCAATATGACAGCAACGTTGAAGATCCCGGGAGTTGATGCGCCACCAATTGAGGTGCGGAACGGCCTCCGGCAGGGTTGCTGCATGGCACCGGTACTCTTCAATCTGTTGATGTGGGCCGTTTTCCAGCAGTGGCATCGTGCTGTTGCCGACATTCCTGGCGTTGGTATTCCTGTGGCAACAAACCCTGGGGGCAGTCTCCTATTCAGTCGGAAGTCAACAGACAAGAGCAAGGTCCATCGCGAGTGTCAATTTGCAGATGACTCTGCTCTGCTGGCTACCACTCATGATGGTGCATAGGGGGCCCTTGACCAATTCATACATGTAGCGTATTCTTTCGGCTTGACAGTCAACCTGGACAAGACAAAGGTGATGGCTGCTGGATATGGACTCGCGGAAGCAGACCGGCTGCCCCTGGACATGGCGGGTGAGGTGGTCGAGTGTGTAGATAGTTTCCGTTATCTTGGCTCTCTCCTCAACACGAATGGCCGATCTACCCCAGATATCAGCTCGCGCATTGCCGGTGCATCACGTGCATTTGGAGCCCTGCGCCGGCCGGTTTTCACTGACAGCAACCTCTCACTTGCTACGAAGCGGCTTGTGTACGGGGCATGCGTGTTATCTCTGCTTCTGTACTGTGCTGAGTGTTGGGTGCCGTTGAAGCCCGACCTTGATGCACTGTGCTCTTTCCATCTGCGCTGCATCCGTTCCGTGATGGGTATCAGCCAGCGGAATGTCTGGGACGAACGACTGACCAGGGTTGATGTTCTGGAGCGGTGGAATCCGCGTCAGCCCAGTGACATCCCCAGCCTGCTGACATCGCGCCGCATGGAGTGGCTTGGGCATGTTGTGCGAATGCGTGAGGAGCGTGCCCCGCGTCAACTACTGTTTGGCACCCTACATCCTGTCCGTCCAATGTGCGGCCCGAGGAAAAGGTGGCACGATGCTGCGCTGAGGGATCTGGCGGCGTTGGGCATCGACGAATGGTATGACTTGGCCCAGGATAGACGGGAATGGCGGGCCGCTTGCAGTGTTCTGCCCCCGCCCGAACCCGTTTGTGAGCCCCTGCGGATACCTTGTGCCGAGTGTGGCCGTCTCTTCTCCAGGAGTGGTTTGCCTCGTCATAAATGCCTCGATGAGCGCCGCAAACCTGTATCAGAACAGAGAGGTAGCCGACAATGTTCTTCCTGCGAGCGCTGGTTCCGCAGTGCCGGAGGTTTGGCGGTCCACAAGTGCCCCAACTCCCGGATGCTCCCCGCGACATCGTCTCGGGCTCCGTGCCGGGCGGCGGTGTCTACCATTGCTGCTCAGGCGACTCCTCCGCCGCAGCGTGTGCGGCTCGCTCTCTCATGCTGCAAGGCCCACTGTGGGGCCTGTGGCCGATGCTGCCGCTCTACTCGTGGATTCCAAATCCATAGCTGCCGGAGATGGCTCTCTCGTCGTGACGATTGAACATGGTCCCTGATCTCTCGGCAGACTGCCGACTTTCTGCCGTCGCGCGTCGTTTTCCATGTTGTCGGCCCCGCGAGGGGACACGTGACCGTAATGGCAGTGTTAACCAGGACCAGGCTGGTTGGTAAAGTAAATCCAATTTCACTTCATGGTACCAGCGCATCTAGTGTCTGCTTCTATCAAGGCAGCGTGCTGTCTATACTGGTTACCCCAGCAGGTGTAGGGTGTGCATAGGTAAATAACTGTCTTGGCCGTGTTATGCCGATGTACTCCGTGTGGAGAAGACCAGGTGTGCATTGGTGGTCGATTCACATGGCTTCGCCAGTTGTGTGGATTAGACAGTTATCTGGCGCAAGTCTTTATCTGTCTCATTCAGATCTTGTTCGCTATCGTTACTATAAGGGCGCGCTCACACTGCGACCAAAACCAGCGTCTAAGGGCCATGCGGCCAAGTTGCATGGCAACGGCATGAACTTGACCAAAACGTCGCGGCCACGTTTCAAATCGTGATCGCGACCTCCGGAGGGGGGGGGGGGGGGGGGGGGTGCCACGACTTGGCGGCCACATGATCGTAGACGTGAAGCGTATTTGTGTACAACCTGGCCTGAAGTATGTTCAGTTTCTCAAATTCCGGTGTGTTGATTCATGAAACTTGGCGGTTGTCGATGTCATCCTCGACCTTTGCACATTTTTATTGTAGTTGTGGTCCTGCACGCACGCACCGCCTTATATGCAATCTTTGCCCTTTTTGGACGATGTTAATTTTGTTTTTGTAGTTGCTTCGTTGTCAGTTGATCGGGTCAGTGACCAGTTTCTACAGTGTACTCGTTGCGTTCAATACGATGTCGATGTTAGCTGGGTCTGGCTTTTCGGTTTGGGAAATCATCTTTCTCTACTTTTCTGCGATGATGGAATGCCATACCTCAAGATATTTCAGTTACATATCATCGGAAAATAGTAGTCAAAATACAGTTCTCATCTCGGCAACAGACAAAAGAAACCACTATCGGAATTTCCACTGCACTGGCACTTGCTCTGACCACGAGGTCAGGAAAGCAAACGCGCTTGGCCATTGGATGTCAGCGGCAGTCCCTCAAGAGTCCAAACCTACAAGATTGTATGAATTATTTTCGTCGACTTCAAGAATACGAGCCACGAGGCACTTCCTCCAACATGCAACACGCGAAAAAATACATTCAAAAACGGGCCACAACTTTATTAGGAAACGCACGAACTCTTTTGGATACGAACTGCAATTCGTAAAGTTTGTGTGACAACTTCACGTCTACGCGTGTACGAGGCCTAGTGTGAGCACGACTGCCACGTATCTGCGTTTTGCTGACGCATAGACGCGTGCTCATGGTCGCAGTGTGAGTGCGCCCTCAGAGAATATCTGTGGGCGCACAACCAGTGCATATGCAGATTTGCATGCTTCTCTTGCGACGGGCGTATAAATGGTACATGGTGTGTACGTGAGTGCGCCCATGCTTACGTGTGTTTGTGTGTGTATGTGTGTACCAGCTAGTTTGGCTGGTGTCTTCACTTATGCCATATAGTGGCTGTGTGTATGGGTGTGTTGACATCATGCTCGACTGTTAGAATGTGTATTGTCGTATCTGACACCTTGGTCGGTTTCAAGGTTCGTATAACGTATGTTATAAATTCGAACGCTCCCTGCCTTATTGCTCTGTATATCTGTATGCTACTTTGTGTGTGTGTGTGTGTGTGTGTGTGTGTGTGTGTGTGTGTGTGCGTGCGTGTGTGTGTGTGAGAGTGTGGTGTGTGTACATGCTCGCGCGCGCGCGCGCGCGCGTGTGTGTATGTGTGTGTGTGTATGTGTGTGTGTGTGTGTGTGTATGTCATTTGTTTACTAGGTCATATTGGTGTGAAGTCAACCATGACTACAGTGTAGTGGTTGTGTTCTGGGAGCATGCTGTCATCTGACCAGTCAAGAAACACTACCTGAGAATACGGTAGTGTTTGGCGAGTGCTATCAGCGGCGAGTGCAAGGTGATAAACCCACGGTAAGCTTTGCGTGCCTTTTGTGTGTGTGTGTGTGTGTGTGTGTGTGTGTGTGTGTGTGTGTGTGTGTGTGTGTGAGGTGTGCGTGCGTGCGTGCGTGCGTGTGCAAGTGTTGGTGTGTGTGTGTGTGTGTGTGTGTGTGTTTGTGGGGTGTGTGTGTGTGTTTGTGTCCAGATTTTGTTTGGAAGGTTGAGTGGTCGTCGCCCTCCTTGTGGTCCCCGGCGGCGCTGGAAAGATGTTGTCCAGAGAGACATGAAGGAAGCTCAGCGTGGATTCCTGGTTTCAGAATGCCCAAGACCGGCAAAACTGGAGAGTGTTCCTTGCTGAGCCACCACTGCACACAGATGATTTGCCACCTTTGCACTGCTTGCTGGGTGCCAGAGACTTCCGCCGTCGTAACGACATGGCCCGACACAAGTGCATTGCCCAGCGGAAGTTGCCTGTGTCACAACAGAAGGGTGCCAGGCAATGTATGAAGTGCATGAGGTGGTTGAGGAGCGCTGGAGGACTGGCTGTGCATCGCTGTCCTGTGTCTACGGATGTCCCTACTGTATATATTCGCCATGAATCTGACTCTTTTCCATGTGATGTTTGTCGCCGATCTTTCCGCTCCCGTTCTGGTTTGAGCCGTCATCACTGTGACCGTGCAAAACGGATGTCACGTGCAGCCAGGAACAACTGCCGTCATGAATGCGAGTATTGCGAAAGGCGGTTCTCAAGGCCACAGGACTTGCAACGCCATGCCCAATACTGTTGACTTTGCGATTTCTCTCTCTTCTCTTCTCTCTTCTTGTCGTTGTCTCCCGCTTCTGGGAGCGGCGTGGCCCGGTAGGGTAGCTGTACATAGTAGTAGTAGTAGTAGTAGTAGTAGTAGTAGTAGCAGCAGCAGCAGCAGCAGCAGCAGCAGCAGCAGCAGCAGCAGCAGCAGCAGCAGCAGCAGCAGCAGTAGTAGTGTGTTTGCAGGGGCGTAGGAAGCAGTTTAATATTGGTGCGGCGAAATTGTGAGAGGGGGTCCGGGAGTCCTCCCGTGGGATTTTTTTGGAAAATTGGGCCTAAATGGCCATATTTTAATGCTACAGAATAATATTATGAGAAATAAGACACAAAGGCACACAATGAAAACCTTGGCAAATTTATTCCGTTGTGACTCCGAGTTTCATGGCTGAACCAATCATCAGACAACGACCCCAATCATCAGACAACATCGTTGTCTGATGATTGGTTCAGCCATGAAACTCGGAGTCACAACGGAATAAATTTGCCAAGGTTTTCATTGTGTGCCTTTGTGTACGCCGCTCTGCCTGAATCAGGCATTGAGCACTCTTGCAGAACCAAAGCATATTGCCTCTGTGTATGAGAAATAAGAATATGGATGCTGATGATACACCGCATTGTCGATGTAAAACATGGTACCTGTACAAGAGTCGACAAGCCATCAACAAGGTTGAAATGTAAAATAAAATTCGAAAATTATTGGTCCGGCGACCGCCGGGCCTGCCGGACCGGTTCCTACGCCCATGGTTTGTGTGTGTGGGGGGGGGGGGGGGGCATATGGTGCAGTGGTATGTGCAGCGGTTTCCAATCGATGGGTTGCGGGTTCGATTCCCGACGATTATGGTCACACACGTCTTTCTTCTCTTTCTCAGACTCCTCCTGACTTTTCTTTCATTCTCTTGGGTGGTTACCAACAGCCAGTGCATGCCGGAGTATGTGGTGTGATGTGTGCGCGTGAAAAAAAATGAAAAGACCAAAAAGTAGGGATTCACTGGCCAGGAAAAGCCACTTCATAGCTGTGTGGTGTAGACCAGGTTGAATAGTGGCGGTCAATTCTTCAGCCTTGCGAGCTTTTGAATGGTGCAATACCATCACAAACTGCTATGGCTTCTGCTGTAGTATCGCTATCATCGCCTCCAGCGAGGGGCGTCAAATTGTCAAAATTTAATGGTGTGTGTTTCACACATACCCGAGTCTTATTGAGCCAGTTCTCATTTGCACTTGCACGCAGGAGATTTAGGTTGAAAGGCACATAAATTTTCTGTTTGCTACCTCCTCTCCTTCTCAGTATCATTGCATTCTTGTCTCCAAGAAAACTGTACCTCTTCTCTAGCAGTAATACACTATCGCGTTGGATTTCTTGCTCTCTCGTTCTCTCTGTTTCTCTCTCTCTCTCTCTCTCTCTCTGTCTCTCTCTCTCTCTCTCTCTCTCTCTCTCTCTCTCTCTCTCTCTCTTTCAGTGTCCAACTCCCAGGCACCGACATCACAGCTGGACTTCCTAACAAAGATATTGCCTAACTACCATCACCTGCAGGCGTCACAGTCGGCAGCAGCAGCAGCAACATCTTGACCAAAGGTATCCTTGCCGCTTCCACCTTACATGGCCCTGTGTTTTTTGCTGCAAACCCGCATTCGCTGAACACGAGGTCTAAGCACAGATATTGTTTTATTATCGTACTCAGCAGAGTAATGCTGGTGTATGTATTTACACACAGCTACATCATTGTCACATTCATGCACATTGGCTGACTCGATAGTTCATATAATTATGCACCGCAGGCTGATATGGGTATCTGTTCACGACATCTCTCCAGAGGTGCGTTGTACACCCATTTCTCACCTATTGCTTGGATATGCTGGTTCTAGGCGGTATCCCGTTACTAGGAAATGCCCACGCAAGGCTACAATCTCTGTTTCTAGGAAATGTTGGTTCTAGGCCGTAATAATTATTAGGGCTCAAACGGTTAGTCCGATTAACCGGTTGCAGACCAGTTACGAAGAATTTACGGTTAGCCGATAAAGATAACGGTTACGCAGTAACTTTTCAGTCAATTTTTCGAGGATCAGGTCGTTGCAAAGTATGCACTTTCGCAGGCTGTCGCACGCGTTTGCAATTTCTGGGCTGTGAACTCGGTCATATCTGCTCACTTGGTGTGAGAGTATTGTATGAATGGGCATGCAAGAGAATGTACATGTGTGAGTTGTACTGGATAGGGTACATTGTTTGAATGAGTATAGTCAAATATACGGTTAAAAAAGAGTCCGCAGGATCGCCGTGGCTTATAGGTTATAGCCGTTGAACCGACCGTTAGCTTAGCAGTTAACCGTTAGGGGTTAAACCGTGACCGATTGAGCCCTAATTATTATGCAGTTGGCATCCCTCAGTCTGGCATGCTGAAATTTTCAAGTCGACGCTCCACGACTGCCTTCTATATTTGGATTTCGTTGATCTGGCAAACAATTGCCGCTGCTTTTAACACTGTAGTTAACACACACATGATTTGCTTCTTATCTGGACAGTGTTTTTGTGTGCTATTCTGACATGGTTCTTGTTTCATGTTATCAAGAACACTGATTTTCTAATGTTCTCGGTTTTGTGTGCGCTGCAGTGTGTGCACAAGTTGCTATGTCTAACATAGCTGTTCACTATCATCGCTTCCGCAATGGGCATGTCTGGGCATGGTACATGGTGTGTGTGTGGGATGGGGGGGGGGGGGGGATGGCTGTTGCCAATTTGTTAGTGTCTGCAGGGGGGAGGGGTGGGGGAGGTGCTGTGGCTTGTTTCAGAGAGTGTTTGCGTGTGTTCAGCGCGATGCACAATATCACTTCTGCGATGTGATCGAGAGTTGTTTCTGCTAAATTTTGAATCACAGGTTTTCCCAGCTCCATCGCAGGTCTTATCGCGGAAAGTTGAGTAGTTCAATTTCTGCGACGAGCGATGAATATCACTTTCTACACGGCGGGCGCTCGTGACAGCTCGCGTGCAGTTTTGGACTGTGCATGCCCTGATACGATGCTCCGTGCATCGAAGACTCTTCGTGCAATTCGAAAAAGAATTTCGCTCGACGCTAATCGCATCGCAGAAATGATATTGTGCATCGCGCTTAATGGTATTATTCAATGTGTGTGTGTGGGGGGGGGGGGGGGGCTTTATACAGTGTGGGTGTGGGTGGCTTTCTGGACAATCCGGTGAACGATAATATTTGCCGAGGCCAATATACATGAATATACTCTCGCATAATCATATCCCATCACTGTTCCGGATACCAGTTCTTCCAAAATTTATATCCCGGAGCGAAAAGAACTTGGCATCGGTTCCTCTGATTTCGTGTCATATTCCTATAAAAATTGTCTACATACTATACTGCATGGTGTTGATGTGAAAGGAGTCCTAGAGCAGTGTCAGAGCAATCAGACGTACATGTAGTTCATAGTTGCTACATGTATTGGAATATATACATATACATTCAACTGTGCCGTGACATAGCCACCGCGTGCTACCACTATCACCGCCACATCCTCTGAATACCCGCGGCTGTTGAATGTGGACACCACAGTGTGCTTCCACCGCCACACATCACGACCCCTGCCCAGTGCCCCCATGGCTTTCCCTTGTCCTCCCTGGTGGTTTCTCCGCCTCTGCACGCTCCATGCATAGTTCGCGCCTACTGCGCATGCCCATCCAGTGATGTAATTCTTATCACTCGCTCTTCCCATGCATGCCCTGCATCTATAACTCACACCTCCTCGACATGCCCATGCGTATCCCCCACAATAAGAACAAGCTATCCCGCGACAAAAGCATTAGTTGTCTGATGATTGCCTTAGCATTTAGCTACGTGCATGAAACGCAGCGTTACAACGTATGTATAATTGGTGGAACCATTCTTTTTGACCTTCATGTACTTCGAAGTACACTAAATATACATGTACAAAAGGGAGAGGGGAAGCTGTGTCGCCACTCATAGTTTGACGTATTACTACGATGCCTGATGATCGTAGTTTATCGCAGTAATACTTGAAACTCAGATTTGCAACACAACTTCCCCTCTCCATTATGTGTGGACGGCTCTGCCCTACTAGTCTATGGGTGTTGAGCACTGTTCGCACAGTGGAGCACGCCAAGTTACCATGGTTACTTGATTGCATGTACATGTATTATGTAGGCCAGAGAAGTGGATTGTGTAATGAGATGATTTGCCAGTCACTATGACAACCTTGCCAGTACTATCCAGTAATTTGAAATGCTGACTAGTAGTAGTACGAACCTGAGAAGCAACACGTCCTCACTTGACTGGACAGATGCTTCACATTGCAGTATCGTGGGATTGTGTCAAATTGTACTGCATACTCCATGGACTGACATTGCTACAGTAGAGTCGCGCACCCAAGAACGTAACGTCGTTGTTTCCAAGGGGTTAGCTTGGGACGTTCCTATTTTTTCAGCAAACTGGCTGCGCTCTTATAACACGTTCTTAGAAACAATCCGTGCTGAAACATGATATGTATCCCACAAGTAATTAGTTGCCAGAAAACTTTGCCGTTCTTGGCTTTTAGGCTGTGGCGTTCATAGTATTTCAGGCTGGACGACTGGACGTTCTTGGACTCCACGTTCATAGTATTTCAGGCTGGACGACTGGACGTTCTTGGACTCCACGTTCATAGTATTTCAGGCTGGACGACTGGACGTTCTTGGACTCCACGTTCATAGTATTTCAGGCTGGACGACTGGACGTTCTTGGACTCCACGTTCATAGTATTTCAGGCTGGACGACTGGACGTTCTTGGACTCCACGTTCATAGTATTTCAGGCTGGACGACTGGACGTTCTTGGGCTCCACGTTCATAGTATTTCAGGCTGGACGACTGGACGTTCTTGGGCTCCACGTTCATAGTATTTCAGGCTGGACGACTGGACGTTCTTGGGCTCCACGTTCATAGTATTTCAGGCTGGACGACTGGACGTTCTTGGGCTCCACGTTCATAGTATTTCAGGCTGGACGACTGGACGTTCTTGGACTCCACGTTCATAGTATTTCAGGCTGGACGACTGGACGTTCTTGGGCTCCACGTTCATAGTATTTCAGGCTGGACGACTGGACGTTCTTGGGCTCCACGTTCATAGTATTTCAGGCTGGACGACTGGACGTTCTTGGGCTCCACGTTCATAGTATTTCAGGCTGGACGACTGGACGTTCTTGGACTCCACGTTCATAGTATTTCAGGCTGGACGACTGGACGTTCTTGGACTCCACGTTCATAGTATTTCAGGCTGGACGACTGGACGTTCTTGGACTCCACGTTCATAGTATTTCAGGCTGGACGACTGGACGTTCTTGGGCTCCACGTTCATAGTATTTCAGGCTGGACGACTGGACGTTCTTGGGCTCCACGTTCATAGTATTTCAGGCTGGACGACTGGACGTTCTTGGGCTCCACGTTCATAGTATTTCAGGCTGGACGACTGGACGTTCTTGGGCTCCACGTTCATAGTATTTCAGGCTGGACGACTGGACGTTCTTGGACTCCACGTTCATAGTATTTCAGGCTGGACGACTGGACGTTCTTGGGCTCCACGTTCATAGTATTTCAGGCTGGACGACTGGACGTTCTTGGGCTCCACGTTCATAGTATTTCAGGCTGGACGACTGGACGTTCTTGGGCTCCACGTTCATAGTATTTCAGGCTGGACGACTGGACGTTCTTGGGCTCCACGTTCATAGTATTTCAGGCTGGACGACTGGACGTTCTTGGACTCCACGTTCATAGTATTTCAGGCTGGACGACTGGACGTTCTTGGGCTCCACGTTCATAGTATTTCAGGCTGGACGACTGGACGTTCTTGGGCTCCACGTTCATAGTATTTCAGGCTGGACGACTGGACGTTCTTGGGCTCCACGTTCATAGTATTTCAGGCTGGACGACTGGACGTTCTTGGGCTCCACGTTCATAGTATTTCAGGCTGGACGACTGGACGTTCTTGGGCTCCACGTTCATAGTATTTCAGGCTGGACGACTGGACGTTCTTGGGCTCCACGTTCATAGTATTTCAGGCTGGACGACTGGACGTTCTTGGGCTCCACGTTCATAGTATTTCAGGCTGGACGACTGGACGTTCTTGGGCTCCACGTTCATAGTATTTCAGGCTGGACGACTGGACGTTCTTGGGCTCCACGTTCATAGTATTTCAGGCTGGACGACTGGACGTTCTTGGGCTCCACGTTCATAGTATTTCAGGCTGGACGACTGGACGTTCTTGGGCTCCACGTTCATAGTATTTCAGGCTGGACGACTGGACGTTCTTGGGCTCCACGTTCATAGTATTTCAGGCTGGACGACTGGACGTTCTTGGGCTCCACGTTCATAGTATTTCAGGCTGGACGACTGGACGTTCTTGGGCTCCACGTTCATAGTATTTCAGGCTGGACGACTGGACGTTCTTGGGCTCCACGTTCATAGTATTTCAGGCTGGACGACTGGACGTTCTTGGGCTCCACGTTCATAGTATTTCAGGCTGGACGACTGGACGTTCTTGGGCTCCACGTTCATAGTATTTCAGGCTGGACGACTGGACGTTCTTGGGCTCCACGTTCATAGTATTTCAGGCTGGACGACTGGACGTTCTTGGGCTCCACGTTCATAGTATTTCAGGCTGGACGACTGGACGTTCTTGGGCTCCACGTTCATAGTATTTCAGGCTGGACGACTGGACGTTCTTGGGCTCCACGTTCATAGTATTTCAGGCTGGACGACTGGACGTTCTTGGGCTCCACGTTCATAGTATTTCAGGCTGGACGACTGGACGTTCTTGGGCTCCACGTTCATAGTATTTCAGGCTGGACGACTGGACGTTCTTGGGCTCCACGTTCATAGTATTTCAGGCTGGACGACTGGACGTTCTTGGGCTCCACGTTCATAGTATTTCAGGCTGGACGACTGGACGTTCTTGGGCTCCACGTTCATAGTATTTCAGGCTGGACGACTGGACGTTCTTGGGCTCCACGTTCATAGTATTTCAGGCTGGACGACTGGACGTTCTTGGGCTCCACGTTCATAGTATTTCAGGCTGGACGACTGGACGTTCTTGGGCTCCACGTTCATAGTATTTCAGGCTGGACGACTGGACGTTCTTGGGCTCCACGTTCATAGTATTTCAGGCTGGACGACTGGACGTTCTTGGGCTCCACGTTCATAGTATTTCAGGCTGGACGACTGGACGTTCTTGGGCTCCACGTTCATAGTATTTCAGGCTGGACGACTGGACGTTCTTGGGCTCCACGTTCATAGTATTTCAGGCTGGACGACTGGACGTTCTTGGGCTCCACGTTCATAGTATTTCAGGCTGGACGACTGGACGTTCTTGGGCTCCACGTTCATAGTATTTCAGGCTGGACGACTGGACGTTCTTGGGCTCCACGTTCATAGTATTTCAGGCTGGACGACTGGACGTTCTTGGGCTCCACGTTCATAGTATTTCAGGCTGGACGACTGGACGTTCTTGGGCTCCACGTTCATAGTATTTCAGGCTGGACGACT